CAGATCCTTCTGGACCTGGAATAACTACTCCTCAGTTGTGGCCACCACCCCCATTTTAGTATCATCTGTGAATATGATAAGCAACCTGGTCACACCCTCTTCCAGGTCATTGATTAAAAGACTGAACAGGAACTGTCCCAGGACAGAGCCCTGGGGGACCCTGCTCATCACCTGCTGCCATCTTGATGATTCCCCACTAATAGTTAGTCTCTGCTTTCGGTCAGTCAACCATGCCCTAATCCATCAGACAGTGCATTGGTCTATTCCAAAATTCTTCCATTTCTCAACCAGGATATCATGCAGCCCTTTGTCAAAGGCCTTGCTGAAATACAGGTAAACCACATCAACTGCACCCACTCTGTCTAGCCACTTCAAAACCTTTACATAGAATTCCACAAGGTTCATCTAGCAGGACCTGTTTTTGTGGAAGCCGTGTTGCATGGCTGCCAGCCTCCCTTCCCTATCTAAGGTTACTAGATCTCTTGCTACTATCAGCCACTGTTTAGAGCCGACATGATACCAGAAGGAAGAGAAGGCCAGGCTACAAGGAGGAATAAACCCAGATAGCAGGGAAGGTTTATTCCCTGGAAGGGAACCAGGAAGCCTATAGCTTGGAATGAACTGCGCCTAGTGAGGGATGCTAAAAGGAACAGAAAGGCCTTCTTCAGATATGTCAAAGTAAAAGTAGAAGACAGAAGAAACGGGGGTTCAACTATTCAGTGTGGATGGCAAAATGATAACAGATGACAGAGAGAAGGCAGAAGTGCTCAATTTCTACTTTGGCTCGGTCTTCTCCCAAAGAAGATCTATGACCTTCCTGAAGAAGGGAAAGTACAAGCTAATAGAGCAAGATGGTAGCTCAAGATTGATAGGCAAATGGTCAAGGATCATCTAAACTGGGTTGAAGGAGTTCAAATCTCCAGCACCTAGTGAAATCCATCCTCTCACCACTACCTGAAAGTTTGAGAAATCATGGATGACAGGGGAAGTGCAGGATGACTGGAGCAGGGCTAAAATTGTCCCTGTCTTCAAGAAAGGAAAGAAGAAGAACTTGGGAACGATATACCAGTCAGTCTGACATCCATCCCTGGGAACATTCTGGAGCAGATGATGAAGCAGCTAGTCTGCAAACACTCTGAATACAATACAGTGATTACTAGAAGCCAGCATGGGTTTTCTCAAGAACAAATCCTGCCAGGCTAATCTGATTTCATTTTTTGATTGGGTAACCTCCCCAATGGACTGTGGGAATGATGTGATATAATCTATCTTGACTTTAGCAAAGCTTCTGACAAAGTGTCCCATGATATCTTGATCAGCAAATGAACTGAAAGTGGGCTAGATGGAACAACTATCAGGTGAATCCACAGCTGGCTACAGAATCCAATTGAAAGCATGCTCATCAACAGCACCTTTTCAAATCAACAGCACCTTTCAGAGGTGAGGTACTGCAGGGTTCAGCCCTGGACTCTTCAACATTTTCATTAATGACTTGCATGAAGAAATGCAGGGAACAATTACTGCAAGTGCAGGGAACAATTATCGGAAGTGCAGATAACACAAAACTGGATGGGATAGCTAATACCCTGGAAGACAGAAATAAGTTTCCAGGTGATCTTGATAAGTTGGAGAGCTGGGCTAAAAACAAAAGAAAGAAATTCAATAGTAAGGAGTGTCAGAGTTCTGCACCTAGGAAGATGAAACCAAATGTATAATTACAAGAGGAGAAATACTTGGCTCAACAATACTGCAAGGAACAACGAACTTGGAATTGCTGTAGATGTCAAGCTGAATGTAAGTCAACAATGGGATGTGGTGTAAAAAGGGCAAATTTTTTAGGCTGCATTAATGGAAGTATCCCTTCCAAATGCTGTGAAGTACTAATTCCCCTTTACTCAGCACTAGTTAGGCCTCATCTGGAGTACTGTGTCCAGTTCTGGGCACCACAGTTGAAGAAGGATGCAGACAAGCTGAAAAGAGCTTGGAGGAGGGCAGCAAGGATGATCTAAGAACTGGAAACAAAGCCCTATGAGGAGAGATTGAAAGAACTGGGCATGTTTAGCTTCAAGAAGAGAAGACGGGAGGGGAGGGGAGGGGAGGGGAGGGGGATATTATAGCATTCTACACATACTTGAAAGCCTGTCTGAAAGAGGATGGGCAGGATCTTTCTGATCATCACAGAGTACTGGACACAGAATAACAGGCTCAGTTACAGGAAGCCAGGTTCCAGCTGGATATTGGGAAAAATGTCTTGATTGTTCTGCTCTCTAGGTTTTGCCGTTTGCTCATATAGCAGTCATCAACATCCACAGTACTTATAAACACATGGAGCCCCTTTATACAGTCAGTTCATATCCAGCCTTGTCTACAAAGATGGACAAACTTTTTTACCCTATGGGACATATGCAGGTACTACACATATGCTCACACATATTTAAAGGCACATACATATTCTACTCTTACCCCATCTCAGGTGTAAGCCTTCTCTCCCAATGTGCTGAGGGAGAAAGAACCCCTTTGAAAGCCAGGATTTCAAAGGCTACCCCTGCTAGCTGGAAGAAAGTGGACCCCTTTTCAGTCCAACAGGAAAATATTATACCACATCTGTTTGACAGACTGGGAAGAAGGAAACTAATCTCCCCTCCCACCCAACTATCCCACTAACTATCATGAATAATGGGAGTGTGAAGGTAAAGCTTCTCCTCCCTGGTGATTCTGTTCAAGGGCCTTTTTTCCCCATTATTCCTATTAGTTATATACCAGTGGCCCTCCCAACTGTTCACAGCATAATCAACATGCATCAGTTATAGATCATGAATAGTGTAATCCTGTGCAGGTCTACTCATAATGAAGCCCTGTTATGTTCAGTGGAACTTGCTCCCAGGTACATTCAGATATTGCAGCTGAAAGACACTCACAAAGCCAAAACCATTAGACAATATACACATTTTAAAACAGGAATCTGATAGCATATCAGTGGGAGAAATGTGAGGGCTTCTCAGGCCGCACAGAGAACAGCTTGAAAACTGTTATTCACAAATACTGTGACTGGTAACAGCTCTCTAGGACTCTTCCCCCTCATCTGCTACCAGACCATTTAACTGTATATAATAGAGAATGAACCTATGGATCGTTCCCCGAAGGTAACTGCCCTAAGAAGGTTACAATCCAAACTATGTCACAGGGCATAAAGGAGACAGCAAGGTAAGCAGTTTGCAAACCTGTATTCCAATTATATGCTACTTATGGCAGAAAGCTATGAATGTTTAGATAGAAAAATTTCCAACATCTCCCATCATCCTGCTAACCATTCTGGTTGGGACATGCTGGGAACTGTAGGACCCTTTCTCTTCTAAACATGCACAGAAATTGCACATGTACTCAAATGTGATCAGCATCCTATTCCAAGATAATTCTGCTCTCTCATTAGGCATTTACCAGACAAATGCTTTAAGCAAGGAGTCCAGAGGTGGGTGATGGATGGTAGCAGTGCTCTAAGGGGCACCTATGCCAACCATCCCACAAACAAACCCTGGAGCTAGACAGAAAGGCATGTCTTGCATCTGGAAGGTAGAAATACAATGTCATTTAGCACTAATCCAGGCCCCTGCTCCACTTTCTACTGTAGGGGAGCTGCCTACCCTTCTCCTGAGTTATTTCATCTTCAGGCAAAAATGCAGAGAAGTTAGGAGAAACAAGCCAAACTTTTATCTATTAAATCAGAAGTAGGTTCGGATGTTTTCTGGCTCAGGTAGAAAAACATTAGGGTATGGCAAATAATGTCAATAGTTGATATCCTGAACAGCAACATCCACACTGCTACATTTTTTGAGAAGAGGAGACTCAGAAAAGACCTGTTAGCAGCATATAAGTATGTGAGGAGGTGTCAAGCAAAGGGGGGTCATGACCATTTTCCCCTTGCGGACAAGGCCAGGATGTGCTCCAATGGAGCAAAGCTCAAGGAACCAAGATCCAAGGAGGATGCCAGGAAGTACTTCCCGACAGTTAGGACCTCTAGGGTATGGAATGGGTTTCCAAGGAAGGTGGTTGAAGTCCCATCGGTGATGGTGTTCAAGGATAGGCTGGACATGCACATGGTAGGCATGTCATGAGTGGAGCTGCTGTAGCTGGGGGTCAGACTAGACGGCCCGGGAGCCCTGTTCTAACTCATTCTGTGTCTATGTTTTGTCCTACTTGCTGTTTCCAATATTCAGGATTGAATGCTGTTCTTACGGACCAGGTACAAGGAACTCTGATATTTCCATAAATATATATTAAATAAATATAAATATATGCATTGCTTAAAAAAGAAGAGAACCCAAAGATCCCCAAGTACAGTCTACAATCTTTTCAATCTAAGTAAGGATGCCAAAAACGCCTGAAGGCACGGAGTCCTTTTCTCGTGGTCACTCTCCCCCTAGGCCTGTGAAGGGAGAACTTTGACAGCTCCATTTCCACAGACACGGGTATTGTTCTCTCGCCGAGTCCAGCATTATCTATTTTTCTTATTAAAAATGGGCTTTGGCTTCTAAAGGGCTAGCCAAAATTAACCAGAAGGGGTTCGGTTCTCAAGTATCTCAACATCACTTCTGGAGGGGCGGGGAACGGGAAGAAATCCCGTCCTTTATTTTATATTATCCCAAGCAAGATACTGCCTAAACCCACACAATCTTAAGTACGCCACCAGGCAGGCAGTTCCAATGGACGCAGCCTAGAGGAACGAGCTCAGCTGGGAACGAAAAAGACGAGGAGGAGCAAGAGTCGGGGAGTGGTCTTCCAAACCGTTGGCAAGCTGCCAGCAACGAGAAGAAAACAATGGAGCCACAGGCTCCCTTTGCTTTCCCTGCCTCGGAGCCTCGCTGACTAATGACGGCCTTATTTCACGGCACCCAGTCGTCTGACGGACAAGTCAGACAAGGGCAGGGCTTTCTTGCCTCAAGCCAGAGATAAGACGAGAGGCAGCACCTCCGAAAACGCGGTTGCGGCGATTATCTTCTCACCTGAAGATGTAGAAACGGCTAGGAAAGAACACTAGAGCACTGGCCCAGGATACGCTTCAAAACGCCGATCCACCCCTCACTAACTGGCTGGGTGGCTGTGGCTGGCTGGCTGCAGCCTCTGCTAGCTCCTTCTCAATCGCGCCAGGGTGCGGCTTCGAAGAGTCCGCAGGCCAGTAAACACGGCAATCATTGGAGGGCGCCTACGTCGAGACCAAGCTGACTGCTCATTCGCTGGCTCTGCAGACGGCACTGAGTCGGTATTATAGACTTTTAAAAAGAGTAACACTGTATTATCTACTGACGAATTACCTTGGTTCCTTCGGACGGGTTGACTGTTGTTCAGAGGAAAAATTTCGGATTTTAGCACAGCTGTGATAAGGCAGCAATAAACCCTGGCCCCACAAAATATACACGTGAAGACTGGAGCTCCTCTTTATTCGCGACCAAATGTTACTTGATTTGAGAACTTTTTTAATTTTTTTAATAAAATGCCGCATCAAATAGAATGCGAACATTTCTGCAGGTTTGTGGGAAAGGTTTGAAAGAGTAGCACCCTACACTGTCAGTTCTCTTTCAATCTAAGTTTTTACTTCCCTGTCTCGGCCGGAGAGAGGTTTATGGGTGCGATGGAAGCCAACAGCTCCGCTTCCAAGGAGACATAAAGACAAGGAGGCCTGTGGGAACAATAGGACATAATGGGAGATGAGAGGTCTCCACGTGACCTTCCAGGCTCTGTTGAACTCAGTTCAAACTAGATGTGAGTTATTAATAAATCAAGGAATTGATCCTGCAAGGAAATAGCATGGAAAATGAAATAGAGCAACATTGCTCTCTTTTATTACTTCAAATGCTTGCTGAACTATGCTTTTCAGATATTCCATAGAAACATAGCGAGTCAGAAGGGGCATCCCAGGCCATCTAGCCTGACCCCCGGCTCCAGCCAGCTCCGCCCATGACATGCCCACCATGTGCATGTCTAGCCCACCTGAATAGGAACAGGTCCTTTTTGCTCTACTTGTAATCTTAAGTACGGAATTTGATGTTAAAGGCAACTTAGACGTTCTAATTAATCCATTAAATTAAAACACATTCACTACACTGACAATGGAGAAAAGATGAAAAGCAGCAATGACAGACAGGAAATGGAATTATGTTTGGGGGTTTTTTGGAATATTTTTATCCCGTCCTACACAATCCAATTGTCCCAGGACGGCTTACAATATAAATAAGCAATAAATACACAGGCAAAAATGCAATAACATAAATACAACAAAATGCCTTTATTTCATCCCTTCAGGCGTGACATAAGTACCCATGTCTTTGGTTCCCGTGAACAGCAGGTGACGTTTGCAGCCTCCTCGCTCTTCCACGTTTTCCACCTTCGCATATCAACCGCTCATCATCCTCTTTTCCGTCTCTCATTGGCCGGTTCTCCCTGGCCCCACCTTCTTCCAGAGTTTATCCCTTCGGATTGGACCATCTCCCTCGCCCTCCCGCCTTTTCCTCTGTATCCGCGAGCCTTTTCCCCAAGACCTCTTTAAGGGTTAACAACACCCCACCCCCGGCTCTCCCTCATTGGCTTCCTCTGTCTACCTTCCGCTCCCATTGGCCGCTCCGGCTTCTTCGCCCTGATTGGCGCACGCCGCTCTCCTCCCGCCCAGCCAATCGGTTGTCGAGCTGCCTCCGCCAGCGCTTCTCTCCCTCGGCCGCGACGCTACGGCCTGGCGGCGATGGCGGCCCGCGCTCTACCTGTTTGTTTTGTGGGTTTTTGGTGACAGGACTAATAGCTCGACACATTTTGGAATGATAAGCTATTTTGAGAAATCTTATACATCCAAATTATGAAGTGGCATTAGGGTTCAAGAGAGATTGTATCTTTTAGATTTATAGCTCACTTTTTCCAAAAACTCGAAGCGGCAATAAGTTGGATGCAGAATTTTGAGGGAGAATTTTTCCCTCAATGGGAAACTTTGATGACAAAAGATATGAAATTCACAGCTAGTCAGGTATTAAAAGAAAATTAGTATGAGTTGTTTTTGGTTGGTATAGTACACCAAAAGGTATTGAGAAAATTTATAAGATTATAATAGAAAGTTCTGGAAATGTAAAGAAGTTTTACACTTTTTCCCATCTGTGGTGGATGTGTAATAAAGTTAATTTTTTTGGAAAGAAATACAGAACATTTTGAAAATTAACTTTCCTATGAAGTCTAAGAATATGCAATTGAGTATTGCACCAGAAACTCAGCTAAGGAATATGGTAGAGATGTTATATGATAACAGCAGCTAAAGTTATAATTGCACCAAAATGGAAAGCAGAAGACTACACAACTAAAGATGATTAGAAAAACAAGCTACCTGAATATGCAGTAATGACAAAACTAACTAGCTACATAAATAGACCAACTAGAGAATTTAATGATAAATGGAAAGCTTATTATGTGCAATTTACTTAATAATGAAAATAGAGCTTATAAAATATTAATAAATTACATTTTAATACAAATGCTTATTTAGCATTTTAAAGAAATGGAAAATAGGTTAATATTAAGAATTATAAATTAGAACAATTGCTATATGAGCTTCAGTTAAGTACTACTAAATTTAACTGACTGTGGAAGAGATAATAATTACTGTCTTTTCCTGAATTTTTTGAACTTGATATATGTAGTATTTGTGCAAGATTCCTTGGCATCCTTTTTTCCTCTTTCTCTATATTCTACTTGTTATGAACATAAAGCTTAAAAAACCTCAAAGTGGCTTCATTCATTCTCTTCCTCCTGCTCTCAATCTTATCCCCACAACAATCCTGTGAGGTAGGTTAGGCTGAGAGTCTGACTGGCCCGAAGTCATCCAGTTGGCTCCATGATTAAAACCCAAATTGCCTGAGTCCTGGTCTCATGATCTTAGCCATTTCACCACACTGACTCTCATACTATCTCTGTAAGCCTGTTTATTATGCCCATTCAAATAATTTCCCCCCTCACTTTAAAAAGTTATCATCCATGTGTATGTGTGTGCAGTCCAGAGATGAAAAAGGAAAAAGGCTTATAGGAGTGTTAAAATGGGCTTTGCACAGTCGGGTTCAACCTTGAATAGAAACAGGCTATCCTGTTTAGGAGAGGATTGTTCAGAGGTGCAAAGCTCAGGAAACACGCTTTTATAACAAAGCCATTATTTATATTATGCCTGAACACATTTTAAACATATTATGTTTTTTTCCTCCACTTTTGCACCAGTTTTAATCGCTCACCAAAACGTTTACTGATCCTCCAGTTCAGCTTTCCCCAAACTAATGCCATCCAGACGGTTAGAACACCCCTGACCATTTGCCATGCTAGCTGATGCTGATGGGATTTGGAATCCAACATTTAAAAGAAGCCGTTTTAGAAAATTTTGCTGTAATATATTGTTCATATTGTTGCACTGCAGCTATGAGGCTTGGTCTTGATAGGTGTGAAAGGATGATCTGAAACAAGGGAGTAAAGAGATCTGAAAAGGTAACAAAGAAAATTACTTAGCCCAAAGGAGGGGAAGGGCCAAAATCAGATAGGACAAGGTATGGGGAAACAGGCACATAGGCACGAGGGCCAAATACTTCCTGATTGTTTATTGACAAGCTGGGCAGAACAAAATGAGCCTATTGTAGCCCACCAGGGCAGGGCTGGATTGGGAAGAAGGGCTGGTGTTGGGGCAGCAGAGTAGGCGGGCAGAAAGAATGTAACTCTCAGTACCCTATTAGCCAATTAGGGGAAAGGAGGAGGGAACAAGCGGTGGGAGCAGGGTTCAAAAGGGGGGTGTGAACATGTGCTCAGGTGAACAGAAAAATGGGAAGGAAACCATTCCTTTCTGTTCATAGCAATAAAGTTTTAAAAAGAACTCTGCATGCCTGGAATATTTTTCTCTTCTGACAGAAAGGAAAGAGTGATTATAACAGTCTGAAAACAATGAGTGCATAAAATGACAAAGGTTCATATGGTCTGTTTCATCCATATGTGATCTTCCTAATGTGCATGGGCAGCTACAGCTATGTAAAGTGTCTGCTGCTTTATTCCATGTAATTCCTAGTAATGCTTCTAGGACTTCTCAGCAACCATTTCCACAAATTTAGTGGTTTTTAACCACAGCAATTATAGGAATAAGCCACTATAAATTACGGCATGCAAACTCATTTTCTTTTCCTTACATCTGCATGGAACCTTACATGCAAACAAAACTGGCTATGTGATATGGCTGAATACCTACAGTACGTTCTGACTAAATTATGTCTTCTCTTGGGTCTAGTACAGATTTGAGCTGGAGTAAGCCAGTAGTGTGTGCAGGCATTAGAGTACCCCGGATAGCTTTCTTTGCATGTACCAAGGTGTATTCCCCTCCCCCTTAAAAAAAATCCTCCTGGCAATTGGGATTGCTTGAAGCAAAGTGATGGCCTATAGCCACTACCACCACCATTTCCCATGAATGCCTCTGAAACACATGTGGAGCTTAGGGACATTCTCAGGAAAGTAAGACAGTGAAGAGCTTCACTGTGGATTTTCCTCTATGGTGCATGCCATCTTCAGTTTCTTAAGGAAAAAAAAAACGTGAAGGGATTCCTTCACTTTTCTGGTAAGCAGGAAGAGGGGATTCAAGAGAGCAGGAGGGTTAGAAAGATCCTGATCAGGGGCACAGAAACCAGTAGCAAGATACCAACAGGTAAGGCCAGCTGGGAGGAAACAGGGAAGGCTAGCTGGGAGGAAAGCAGGGCAGGAGTAGGGAAGTTTGTATATCTATGTATATGGGAGTTGCTTGTATGCAGAAAAGAGAATTGGTAAAGGAAGGGGCTTAGGGGATATTAGAGGTATCCTGAAAAAGAGTGAGTGTGGTTTTTCATATATTTGTGGAAGAGGGAGGGATATGAATGCATGCATGTAGACACCCCATGTATGGAGGGTAAGAGAAGCTTTAATCCTCCACCCACAATAATTCCAAGTACAATAGTTGTTTCCACATTGCTATTTCCTGCTGCTAATAGTAATCTCAGTAGCACCTGGTCATTGTGAAGGGTGGTGGTGTACTTTGCCTCAGGAAGAACCAGAAATGGTCTGAAGTGGTCCAATTCAGCTCAGGCTTTGGATAAATTTGATGCACATTCCTAGGCTGCAACATTCAAAATA